TTAAAAACTTGTCTAAAATTAAAACAGAATAAAAAGCATGCACCATATAGAGAATATCAACATAGAATAGCCACACTAAAATATATTCTAGTGAAGTTACTGGACTTTATGGGAAAAGAGAAATGTTCTAACAAAAGAACAAGTGACTTAAAAGGGAAAGAAATGAGTATCATGAGCCTTTTTGGTTTTTGATAGAAATGCCTTAGATCAGAAGAAAGTAGTTATTTATATATTTAAGAAATTAGAGGAAAGAATACGTAAGCACCATAGTCATCAACTTTCCAGATGACATTTATTGATTCGATAGAATCCTAATAAACCTGGCGTTGGGATAACTGGTAATCCAGTTGGTCAAAATGCTAATTGTATCCTCCTTTATACTGGTACAAATGCTAGCTCCCCAAGTCAAAAAAAGATAAAGCTCTGTTGAAGATGATCAGGCCAAATTCTGCTTTTGAAAATACATTTTATTATTTTTATTTTATTTGTATGAGTGTTTTGCCTGCATGTAAGTGTACCCATGTTGAACAGTGCCCACAGAGGTCAGAAGAGGGTGTCGGATCCCCTAGAACTGGAGTTAGGGCCGGTTGTTAGCCGCCGTATGGGTGCTGGGAACGGAACCTGGTTGCTCTACAAGAACAGACAGTGCTCTTAACTGCTGAACCATCTCTCCAGCCCCTAATTTTGCTTTTTAAAGCAAGATCTGGAGTGCAGACTTTCAGGAGCTCTGCTGAGTGAGTTCAGTATCTGCCCTAGATTCTGTGCACCAGCAAGGCCCACTTACCTCATTCCTTTCATACCAGCTGACAGTCTTCCTTTTGGAGAATTCCTGGGATCGCTTCACCACAAAGTAAATGAGATACCCACTTCCACACAGACAGCCGGTGATGAGAAAGTTGGCCAGCACACGTAGGAATCTCGTCAGGTGCACATTCTCTTCTTTGTTACTTTCTTCTTCATCCACTATAGATTCCTTAGTGTGTGAAAGTGAGACATGAATAATGGCAGGTCAGGAATCCAAACACCGATGCTTGTTGAATCTTGAGAATACTTTTCTATATTTCAATAAATAATAGAGGCAGTGATGCGATACCTTATACTTTGTAGTATTACAGTCATTTTCCATAAAATATATTTTGCTGTTATTTTGATCTTGGTGTTTGGGTATTTTTTAATAATACCAAGATTTATTCTGAGATTTATTCAATATTTACTCTGTGCCAGATATGGTATTAAATGTTTTCTGTGCATTATTTCTTAATCTAACATCAAACTAATAGAGAGGTTACTATTCTTTTTTTTTTTTGTCTTTTTGAGACAGGGTCTCCCTGTAGCCCCAGCTGTCCTGGAACTCACTATATAG